ATGCACAGAGCCAGCTCGTGCATCATGGGACACACAGGGCAATCATTTCTTTCCTTTCCCTGCCACATCGCAGGGACAAATCTCAGCTGATGTAAGGCAGTCTGGCTCCTCCGACTCCATGATAACAGTTGATCCAAGCTGAGGGTCTGACTCAGTTGTTTCCAGTCTAAGTGATTCTTGACAACTTTAGGCAAAAAATCAACAAAATGTATTTAAAAGTTGATTTACTATGTACCCTCGATTCCAGCCCGAGTCCTTGTATTCAATGAGCCATTACACTAATTATAATGCTATGGTTGATGTTTGAAGTCTTTTCTGTTCTTTGCAGAGACATCTCTTTTGGTAATATATGCAAATAACATTGCTAGGGGCCTCTCTGAAAATACCTATAGTAGGAAGAAAATATAAGAAAATATGCATTTGATTTTTATGCAAGTAAAGGATAGAAACAAGTTAAAATAAATATCTTCAATAGAACATTTTAATGTGTTTCTTTAGCTTCTATTTTTATTTTAAAAGGTTTGTTTTGCTGAAATGTAAGAAGAAAAAAATGATAGTATCAGTTACCTTGATGTGCCCTAACGTACCAATTATATAGCTGCCAACTGCACCAATATGTCTGATGAGGTACTGTTCTTGCACTCAGTTAAACTATTGTACTGACAGGAGAAAAATGAATTCACTTTGTTTCAGACTGTTAGACATGCTTTACCTTCCAGCCTCTACTGTACTGTCTAAGTGAAACACATAGGAACCATTTACATTTTCTTGTCAGTTAAAAAAGAGGATCAGGACACAACAAAATCTACTCTACTAAGACCCTCCCCATAAAAGCTGGCAATACTCTGAGGGGCAAATTTCTAATTCCTATGATGGAAATGTTTCACAGAACCTCCAGGCACAGGTAGTTCTCCTTTGGGTTTTCCTGGTTTATATATTCTTTTTATTGATAAAAATTGATAGTATTCATTTGAGGAGCCAATGTGCTTGGCAAGACTCTCTGATCTTATGAGGATGCTCTTTGTATCGGTCTCTTTATAAAAACTTGATTAAACAAATAACTACTTAAGAATTCCCCACCCCCCCATAAAATCTCTGTGTGCACCTTCTTTTAACCATTGCATAGAAGTCAAACAGGAACAAAAGGGAGCATGGATAAAATGCAACACACTCCAGTAATGCCTGGATGTTACAGTAGCTACTTGAAGTCATTGCAGTGAGCTATAATTTACAATAGCCCTGAAGCTTTAATTTATGTAGGAACTGAGCGAAGTGCCAACAGTCCTAAGTGTTGATGAAAAGCAATGTTAGTTTAAAGCCTCCCCCCTCACCTGTGCTGAATGGAATTCTGGCACAGCTGTGCATGAGCTGCTGTGACATAAATTTTGCTCCACATTTTTTCTGATGCTTTGAATCTGTAGTGAAGAAGAATGTTTTACAACCTAGTTGTCCTCAACATTCTGCTAAGCAACTTTAGCAGCTAAATAAAGTGACATGAATGCATGTGGCAATTGTTTCTAGTCGGAAATCATTTCCCTTAAACTGAAGCCTGCAGGGCTGATTCTCCACTGTGTTGCTTCTTGGCAATTAGAAGGTGGTTTATACCTACTTGGTACTGGTGTAAATGAACATTCAAGTGCAAGGCAGCAAAAAATGTGGCACATGCTGTTGATTATGCCTCTCCTCTGACTTGAAAACTCAGAAGAATGGTGAAGAAAGGTAAATTTAAGGACCTCTTGCTTAAATGTAATTTAAGTATGCATGATTTCTATGCATATATAAGTATGTATGTATATGTTTACAAGCATTATATATATGTATATGCAGAGACACATATATTTATATATGCATACACATTCACTTTCGTGGCTAGATACAAAGACTCAAAGCCCACCAATGTCAATTCCTTTTGTCTTCTACAGATTTTGACTTGGGCCATTAACAGTTTTAATGATCAAGTTTATCAATGCTGCTTATTACACGACTAGCCAATTGCCCATCAAGAATGATGCGGGTCATGGGAACGGGCAGGGATGGAGCCCCATGCCCCCCACATCCAGGTGTTCTCCCCCCTTTCCTCCTGCTGCTTGGTAATCAGGCCCATTCCCCCACTTTCTGCCACAGGGGGAAGGGAGGAGTGGGCCTGAGCCTGATGCAGGGGAGGACCAGGCCCAACGGTGGGGGAAGCCAGGCTGCCACAGCACGGTAGGGAAAAGCAGTGGGCCCGGGCTGACCCAGTGGCAGCAGGGGCACAGGAGGAGTGGGCTTGGGGCTTATGTGGGGGAGGTAGGGTAGAGGGAGGAACGGGCCCTGGGCCAAAGAGGAGAGGAGGCCTGGTCCTCCTCTCCCCCAGCCACTACTGCATTGGGCCACATTGGGCCAGGCCCACTGCTGGCCCCCACTGCCGCTCCAGGCCTGCCCCCCGCCCCAGTGTCAGGCCTGGGCCCACTCCTCCCCTTCCCCCACCACCACTACCACCACTATGGTATGCCCGCTCCTTCCCTCCACTATGTCAGACCCAATTCTCCCCCCACTGCCACTGGGTCAGCCCTGCAGGTGGTGACAATGGAAGGGGGCAAGGGTGGGCCAAGGCCAGCACCAGTGGCCTCATCCCCCCATGGTGTCCCAGCCCCACTCCCTCTCCCATGCTGCCACCACCATCACCTCCAAGGAACAAGGGGAGTCCAGTGGCCTGCCCTCCCCCTCCGCTCCATCATTGCCACCTGCAGGGAGCAGGGTGGGGGGGATGAGGTCAGCTGCGCTCAGTCCCCTGTGTCCCCACCATCATGGCAGCATGTTGCCACTTATCCAGATGCTTATTCGCACTCTGATTGGCTGTTTTTCAGCCAATCAGAGTGCAAATAAAACATTACAGACAGACAGACAGGTTAAAGCTTTTATATTATTAGAATGCTTTATGTCAAAACATATTTATCAGATATAATAGTATCACTATAGTAGATCTGTTCTAACTAGTGTCTTGGTCCCCCTCTCTCCTAAACACATTGCTGCTTTATTAAACTAGATTGGCTCTTAATCACAGAAAGGGTATTCATTGTGTTGCTACTGCTGTTTTAATTCTTGGGAGCCAATAATTTTCACTCTCAGAGCAAAGCAATGATATCAAGAAAGTGCTAATAGGGAAATTTAATCTGGTAAAAGAAAGGACACAGGGCCAGATCTTTATCTCCATCTAAGTTAACATCTCTCTGCAAATTTCAAAGACCCCATAATGCAGCCCTTATTTGAAAATTTTAAGAAATTCCATGAAAATTATTTTAGAAAACCTTATGTAAGGAATATGGGCAAGTCACATTTATGCCAATAATTAGGTAAGAAAATTAGCTAAACTAAAGGAAGTGAGGTTCTTGAGACTTAATATATTAAATCTAAAGCTGTTAAGTATATTGCATGTAAATGAAGTATTAATTGATTCAGTCCTTAAATATGGGGCAACTGGAAATCAGAAAAAAAATCCATCATGTAGTTAGTTTACAAAAGACCTCCTTAAAGAAATTTTCTTAAAATGCAGGCCAGTTTAGCACTCAGACATGCAAAGAAATGGAATGGTCTTACTTGAACTTTGAACAAGAAGCTTCTGTCCACATGACAACAGAAAGAAGCCTCATGGTTGATTCCTGAACAGTTCTAAACTTGTCCATGGGCCTTGCTGCTTTCTTTTTTAAAAGTGACTCTTAAGAATGCTGTACTTGGCTTGTTCTGATTACACCTGATGAAAAGTGTCTTGCATTGAAAAGCTTGTCTATCTGAATTATACAGTTGACCCAATAAAAGGTATCACCTTAAATCTTTGCCTCTCACATTTTAAGAAAAAGACATTTGTAAAGAACTTTATTTCCATGTATTTTTTAATAGTGAGAATTTCTTTGATTTGCTTAGAAGGCACCCAAGAATATTTCTTTTTCTGAACTGAAAAAAATGCAAAACTATATAGAATAAATATTTAATCTAGCTCAACCTTTTGTGAAATAAAGATTCAGTGCTCCTGTTCTCATCCATTTTTGCCATTTACTATGAACATGTTTGGTTTTTTGTTTTTACTGCTGATTTGTGTCAGGTATAGAACATTCATAATACAAACACCAAAACATATTTTTCTTTGTGTGTATGGTGTTTTGTTTGGTTTTTGTTTTTCGCTTTTTGCACCTGAAAGTTACTGAAGTTACCGGCCACAGTGAATGTATTTCTGTCAGGAATCTTGAAAGCCACAGAAACCATTCATAATGAAAGAAGTCAAATTTATATGCACTGATATATTTACAACTTAATCCCAGTAGCCTTTCAAATTGCTCAGGACTAGGAGTCAAAACACCAGTGATGCACACATTTTATAGCAGCTGCCTGAGAGAAGATTGTCCAACCTTGAGTAAAACTATCAGATAGGGAAAGCAGAAGACGACTTTGTTTATATCTCTTAAATTCTTGGGTAAATATATATTTTTATATATATATATATATATATATATATACTTTTTTATCCACCTACTGATACAGAGTGCATGTGATAAAGTCCCACATAAGATACTTAAATATTTGCAGGCACTGGTCACACACACAAATATATCTTTTTGTCTCTCTTTCACTCTTGAACTGACATTTAGGATGACAAAACTTTAATTCCTTTTGTAATATCTATTACAAGGGTATGATAAGTGCATTTGTAGATTATGTTCACATATGTAGTGCATGTACTAATACCTAACCAATACATTTTATCCTTTATAATTACAAATTCAAGTGTTTTTAGAAAATAAAGTAATCCAATTAAATTGGGAGCAAAGAAAGGAGTACAAGTAACATAAATATTTCATCCTAGGTTAGGTACAGAATGAGAAGTGCCATACACACCTTTAAAAAAAAAAACCTAGAGGAATATGGCAATTTTCCTCCCACAGTTCAATCACAAAGAGTTCATGTTTAATTTGGGGCAAGATATATTGCCTGCAAAATATCCCCATGGCTTCCCACAGTGATCCCTGAGGTTTGTTTTTGCTAGGATTACTGCTGTGCTTAGATTTTGACTGATAACACATTATTATAAGGCACTTTTATTTACAACGTTCCAACTTGAGATACAATTACAGAGTATCTGCTCTAGCCCAAAGTTTTATCACTCTATGTTTGCTGTTCCAAGACTTCCAGATAGTCAGGTTCAGTATGCAAGTTTGCTTTGAGTTCAAAATATTCATTTTTCGTCTGTTCTAGAAAAACCTTTCTCGGTCTGGAGTACATGAGTGTCTCCATTAGCTTCAGCTCCTCATGTGTTCCAGGATAATGTACTTCCATGTCAGGTTGCAGCTGGACAATATTTTTCCTTAGGTACTCAGTGATCCCTAGTTGCTGGAGTTCTCTCTCCTTCTCAAGAATATTTCTGTACAAGGAGCTGGCATCCTGAAAGGACAGAAATTCAGCTGATTGGTCAATAGCTTTGTATTTGACATTTGAACCTGTAAGAGGTGAACTGTTCTCTCTCTCCAGGAGACTTCGACGGAGATGTCTGGAGTCATTTCCTTCTTTTTCGTTTCCCTCCTCTTGTTGCTCTGTATGTTTTGGGCTGAAGGATGGGCTTCTATAAACCTGAACCATGGGGCTGACTATACGTTGCTCATAAAGAGTTGTAGCTGGATGCTCAGTTGTGTGGTGTGTGGTTTTATGGCCATACATGCTGTATTGGAGGTGTACTGGGCTAGGGTCTCTCATCTGCTCATCTGCCTGTTTCTTCTTGAATCTCCTCCGTCGATGCAGAACAAGGACAACTATTCCTGCTGCACAAAATACAATAGTTATAAACAAAATTAGGAGTCCTAGGATTAAAACAGAAAGTGGGACAGCATCTGTAAGTGATCGTAGAATAGTATCTGCTGTATTGCTTGTTGTAGAAGATGTTGTCACAACTATAAAGCTAGCATGGGTTGGCAAAGTTGGGCTATTTATTAGGCCTGGACACAAGACTTCACTGTTCAGAGCTTTCAATTCTTTTTTAGCAAGGTGCCCTGGAGATTTACAAAAGATTTCACCTATGATTGTATTCTTACTGAGCTTTTGTATCCATTGCTGCAGCCCAACTGAATCACAAGTACAGTCCCAAGGGTTATCTTCAAGTTCAATTTGTACCAACATATCCAGGTCATCCAAAACATTGCTCACAGGCAAATGTGAAAACTGGTTTGTTTTCAGGTTTAGCCGGGCTAATGGCACCCCTGAAAAAATATGGGGTGGTAAAGTTTGAAGAAGGTTGTTGTTTAAATACAGGACTTTCAGTTTTGGCATTGTGTTAAATGTCCCTGGTAAGACTTCCTTGATAGCATTATATTCAAGATACAAATATTCAAGGTGTTGTAACCCAAGGAAAAGATTCTGATTTAATTTTGTAAGGTGATTACCATTTAGATAGAGTTTCTGCAATCTAGTTAGATTCATAAATGATCCTTCTTCTAGGATTTCAATGCGATTGTTTCCCAAGTGAAGCATTTCCAGGCTAGCATAGTCCACAAGATCTGATTTCAATAATGTTTGAATAATGTTTCCAGCCAGAATAAGCTTTTTAGGATGTGGAGGAGGGGGTCCTAAATCAGATAAGCTTTCAATATTTCGCTCCTGGCAGTGCATTAGAACCCCTGAGAGGATATGGCTGGTACAGTGACAAGGTACAGGGCAATATATTCCCGGAGGCTGAGTGGCTGGCTTTGTGGCATGTAGCACTAAACGTGGTTCCTGGGTAGGAACTTTCAGGATAGGGATCACTCTGGTTGATAAGTGACTATCACTTATAGAGGTGGTTACTACCAAAGGCAGTGATCCTGAAGGATCTTCAAGTTCATTTACGGGGTGGGTAGGGCAGAGTGATTCTTTTTTCAATCTGCTTAGAATGCTACCTTTGATAATAGGAGGGCTGTTGCATACAACATCGCCTATTATTGACTGGGGAGGCATGTTTTCTAGCCATATCTTCAGCTGCAGTAATTCACAATTACAGACCCACTTATTGTCTTCCAACTGAAGATCCAGGATTCTACCAATATGTTCCAAAAAGCCAACATAGGGAAGTGTTTGCAGCTGATTTCCACGAAGATCTAAGTGGGTCAATGGCACAAAGCGAAAGATATTAGGAGGAAGAAACTCAATGGCATTATCATTTAAAATAAGCACTTTAAGTCTGTTGAGCTTGCTGAAGGCACTTGCTTCGATCACTGTGATGAAATTGTTGTCTGCCTGAAGGAACTCCAGGTTTTCAAGTCCATTAAAAGTATCCTCTTTAAGTATTTCTAAAGAATTGTGGTTAATATGGAGTTGCTTAAGAAAGCTGAGACCATTAAAAGCTCCAGGCTCAATATCTGCAATATTATTAAAGCCAAGATGTAGAGAGATAGCATTGATGAGGCCAGCAAAATCATTCATATGCAGCATGGTCAAGCCATTGTTTAGCAGATTAAGATGGAAAGGCCGTGATGGTGGGACATTTATTTGTGTTATCAACTTGATATCTCTTTCTTCGCAGTTTATAATCATAGTATCATCCTTTTCTTCACACAAACACAAAGTTTCACAAGATCCTCTAAATGAAGACAAAGAAGGCTGGGACTGTGGTAAATCAGAGGCAACCAAAACAGAACATAGCATAAAAATCCATAGCTTCATGGTTGCCCAGCAGATTCTGTAAAATAAAATAAAAAATAGAGCTTATCATTTCATTTTTTGAAAACCCCCCGGAGATTTTTGAAAATTTCTAGAACTTGTCACTGATCTATCAAACCTTACAAAATGACACCATGTGCCAGTAAACATTTGAATGAGTGATTTGAGTGATTTCCTAAGGATCTGACTGCATGTTTAGTTGTAATCACTGAATGCAACAGGGTGGGCATAAAATAGAATTATGTTAATATGTTTATGCTGCTGCAAAATAAGCATTCAAAATTTATAAAATTGCTGTTCTGATTTATCTAGAAATACAAGTATGTATGGAACTTTGCCCGAAGACACTACGTGATGTGTTGCTGCCCCCAGTTGAATAGATTAAGGTTAATATAAAATATATCATCATTCATAGGTATGTATGCCAAAACATTTAGAATCCAGCAGCTAAGAGACATTGACAATTCATGTGACTGAACAGAAGTTTATAAGATTAATTTAACTAATCTGTTGCTTACCAAATGGCCATTCAGCCACCATAGGGAGAGTATCGTCTTTGTTTCCGTTTAAATGGAACTTACTCTGCTTTCTATTTAAATAGTTTAAAGAGTGGTATTTTCATTTGCATAGATATGAATTTATATTTGGGATGTTTTCATATTATGCATATTTGTATAATATATGGGCTTAATACATGTAAATTATATAAACTATAGATTATGTCCGTTCACCCCCCCACATTCATACATTTTGTAGAATTATAAATAAATGTATGCATATATGCAACTTTGTGTGTGCAGTTAATAACTTGGGTACACAAAGAAGACAAAAATGAGTGTGAAAGGCTAATAGAAAGAAATGAGTAGGCAAGAAACAAGATTTTTTTTTACATTTCTTCTTAATAGTATTAGTATCATCACCACACAGAATGACACTTGGCATTAGCAGTTAACAATGTTGAATGGCATAATCTGCATGGTGTATAAATTAATGATCATTTTTCAAGCCATTTGCTCTAAAATTTTCAGACTTCAGGAGGTTGAGAAATGTCTCATCACTCTCCAACTGTTAAATCAGGAGCACAAACTGGTGAACATTACATGGTGTCCATCTGACACAGTTTTTACTGGTATGAACTTAGATTATGTTACATTGTTCATATGAGGATTCTCTGTGTGTCTTTTTATCAAAGTTGTTGAATTACCAAAGAGCAAAGGTATTTCTTATTGCATAGGATGAAGTTACATATCTGTTTACAGTCTATTATTAGAATAAACACTTCCACATTTCCTCAAAGAAAAAGTTCGTGCTATGAAAAAGATAATTAGAAACACATTTCATGCAAGAACTTGCCTTCAGTGCACTGCTTATTCTAGAAATGAACACAGCAGATTGCTTGAAGAAACCTATCTAATAAAGGTCAGTCCATCTTTCTAAGCAAGCTATTGAAACTTGCTTTGGTGTGCAGAATGTAATTGCACAATTAACCAGATGAACCACTGCTTTCTGAGCAAGTTAGAATGCTTTACAAGGGATACATGTAATTATATGTAGGGACACACTTAGAATTTGGCCATATTCTTTAGCATAATATCAATTACAGTTAATATAATGATAATTTAGCTGTGTACCTTGTTCTTGAAATACAGTTAGTTATGCTTCCCATGCAACTTCTTCATAAGAAGGTTTCTATGGTAAGTGGTGCTAGAGGAACGTCTTTATATAAACAAAAACCAATTTATCTGTATTGATTAGTGGTACCTTCAATTATGATGGAGCAAGGCATTTCATATTATAAAGAAAGGTGATAGAATCTATCCCTAAACTATCTTTAAAAAAAAATCAAGTCTTCATATAATAGTCCTTGAACACAATGCACACAATTAGCTCACTATATTTATGTTGTATGGTGTCCTGAGTTTCTGTTTTCCCATAAATATTAGGCAAGGCACAACATACAGAGGTCTTATTTCAAAGTATTCAGAATAATGTCAGTATGATATTATAAAGATTTAGAACTTCTTTCTACTCATTAGTATCCTATTCAGTGACCTAAAATGGGAAATCAAGTTTTCCATAATAACTGTGAGCTCCAAACCAACTCTGTTGTTAATTTGGCTTTAATTTTTATAACCTGTCTCTTTATAAGGACACCAGCATAACTCTGTTGTGTATTCAAACTGCACTTATTATGAAGGCCTAGGGCAAAATGAAGTGGAAAAAAAAAACCCAAACAGGCTGCATTAATCTAAAATGCATGTGGCTTTTTAATTCACATTGCTAAAATCATTTATAAAAATGAGAGCCACTCATTTTTTCTCATAGATGAAAGTAAAAAAAGACATTTGTAACCAATTGAAACACATTTTCATTTTAATCATCATCATACTTTTGTGGGGAATACTGTTAGAAGTCGCTTTCTCTCTCTCTCTTCCCCCCCGTGCTCTCTCTCTCACATGCAGCACACATGCACTCATATATACAGATGCACCCATGTGCATGTGCATACACACACATAAGCACACTAGAGATATGCACTTGTATGTAGTAAGATGCTTGAAACTTCTAGGCATGCCAAAGTAATGGAAGAGGGTTTTTTTTTTTAGATTTTTAGTCTTTGCACTCAGGAGCCTGTCAATCTTGCCCTCAAAGGATTACAATAGTACTGTAAAATGAAAATTATTTTTGTCTACCAGATGATTAACATTAAGTGCAAAGAATTTACAGTACAAGTCTAACATGCATTTTATTTAAAAATGCTTGACTAATGACTTTATTTTTTGTTTCATATCCAGAAGTGAATTAGGAAAGAGTTTTTTGTGCTTTGTTCCCATACAGAAGTAATTAATAACTGTTAACTATAAATGTGCTCTTTGCATTTGCACTAAAGAGCCCAAAATGCCACTGTCTTTCCAATATTTAGAGTACTTGCAAAAGTAGTACATTATGTGCCATCTTAAAGCAAATTGCTATACGCTTAAAAAAAATCTTTCCAAACATTACCATATTTTTAATTTTGCTTATCTTTTGATAACAACATGTAAAAAATGGGTGCTGAAGAGCTGCAAGGACTCAGATAAAGAAAACAGATTTTCCAATATTTAAAAGTCTTCAAGCCCGCCTGTTAAATTCTGGGGAGAATTACTTCAGGGTGATGTATTTTAAGAGTTGTTATACTTCGGGGAAAAAAATCTTTAATACATGCTACCATGCAGGTTACTCTCCAAAACTACTCTCTACTGATAGCTGATTGATTGAAAGGATAGAAAAGCATCACCATTGTAAAAGGCACCTGATAGAATACTTGAAATGGTGGTGGGTGAATCTGTGTGCATTGCTATCATTTAACTGAAAAGTTAACTAAAGTAATACAGAAAAATAAAATCAATCACTGCTATGGGATAGAGAGTAAATGAGAAAATTCATTGGAGTTAATTAGCCAAGTGGAAGCATTCTTACCTGTACAGCAGCAACATCCTGTGACACGATCAATGGTGCACACAGTTAGAGCAGATGTTCGATTGTAATTCAGTCCTCCTTTATTAAAATGTACACTTTCTTTGGAGTTTTCACTTCCCTGCACACTCTGATACAACTACAGTTCCATAAAGTTAAAATCCTGAATCAGAAAACAAAGTGCAGGTCATTTAACTGAAAAAAAATCTCACAGGCAGAGTCACATTAGACTATCCTGTAAGCAGTTGTCTTCTTTCCTCAATTAAAATTCACAGCATACTTCACAGCTATGCTGACTTTTCTGCATATAGTTAACCATTTGCAAGCATTTGGATTCTGTAAATAAACAAGATGTTCAGCAGAGCTCAAAATGATCACTCTTGGCTTGTTAGATTTTTAAATCCAAGCTGATTCTATCTTCTCTTTCCTCTTTCTAGTCTTTCTTGTTAGCTCAGTTTGTTATTAGTCAGACTGCCAGGGGCTGGGAGGTAGGCGTAAATAAGAGACTTCTTGGCTTTTGACTCAGCCTTTAAGCCCTTCCCCATCAGAGAGCTTTAATCTGCCAGTGTCATTTCACACAAGATACAGCTCCACCTTGAGACAGCTCAGCTCCTCCTCCTTCTGCAATTTGTCTCCCCTCCTCTTTCTCCTTTTTTTTTTGGTTAAACTGAACCTCCTGAAAGTAAAATTAATCTAAATCTACCGTAAATTACTTAAATCTATTAATGGCTGATTTTAGATGAACATAAATATCTACTACAGCTCCTGCAGCTTTTGCTGTCAGGCAGATCTTGTTTTAGTTTACATCTGCAAATATGTGCTTTAAATGTTGGAAGCGTTCCATGCTGAATGCTCCCAACAACAGATATCACAAGGACAGTCTTATTTTCTGGGAAATTTTAGTGTCTTAATGAAATGAAGTATTTCTAAAAATATAAAACTACCCACTGGATTTTTTGTCCCAATTCATCTATTACAGTAGATTAACTAGTAGAGAAGTGTGTGTACAGTGGCTTTATAGGTTTCACTTTTTGGAGCAAAGGCACTGTATAGCACATCGCTTCTTATGGTCACAGAATGATTGCAGTGCTCTTTAAGCATCCCGTCTTTTTTTAGTAGGGAAGTATTGATTTTAAAAGACTGCTTTCCAGACATTATAATATGTTGGCATTATTGCACAGAGTGCTATTTTGTTTAGTATAAAACAGTTCATGATATATAAAAAAAACTATTTTAAGATTTACAGTGGGGCTGTAAACACACAATGATTAGCTATTATGTATAGATTGAAGAATATAGGAGTAGAACTATATAAAGATAGAATTTAGTAGATCTATTACTAGCCAAATTCTGGTATCACATGCATGCTCAATTCAATGAGTGGCCTCATTGAAATGCAATAGACTGTCATAAAGTATTGTTCCATCTGATCAGATTTCCCATTATCTGGTCCAATTTTTGCAGATGAACGTTGGCTTTAGGTTTAGTGTACTTAGGTCTTCATTATTTCACCCCCCACGATTCAATTGTGATTGAAAAATAAAGAAAAAATCAGAAGAATTAGAGCTATCTAAATAAATTATCCAAGTATTTTATTTGTTTTGTTTGTTCATTTATATATTTGTATGGTTATTTTTCCTCCTGACAGAATACTAACAAGTTGATCTCCATTTATGTAATGTATTTGACATTACTGTTTTTGGGGAACATTTTTACTCTCTAGCTTCATTGCAAAAATCTTTGAGTATTGTTGTACATACATTCCTGGTTTGGTTGTGATTGGTTAAATAAGACCATATGATACTCTCTCTGGTATGCATTTAAAAAATGCCCCTAATTATAAAATAAATATGCTCCCAATACATTCCTACCTTATTTTGTATGATTCCTGTGAATCTTTGTTTTCATTTGTTCCTTGTTTTACTGTCCTTTCATCAAAAAAGGGTGAAAGTTTTAAATACTTCACCAAGTCCTGCAGCTTAATCTACCACTTACACTGAGTCTGATGTCTAATGTGTTGCATACAGTGTAATTTAAATATTTGCCTTTGTCTTTCACATCTAATAGTAATCTTAAAATGCAATTAACTGGGGACTGGTCCTGCAATCAGATCCATGTTAATAAATCCTTTTGTCCATTGACTTTAGTGAGACTTCATGTAAACTTGAGCAAACTATTATGAATGTCAGTTTAGGACCTTGTTTTTCTCACCTGATACTATATACATAATCCTGATTTAATATAATTCAGTGTAATAAATATATGACAAACTGTTATACATTAGAGAAAAATGACCTGTACCAGAAAATATATATACTGTAAACCTTTTTGATTTCTGAGGTACCCTCCCTAAAAAGAGTTGCCCTTTAAACATATACCTTTTCAATTGCTCTGACAGTTTTTAAAGTTTGTGAAGCTGCATTAATAAAATGCACAACTGTCAGACTCACTTATTTCCCAAAAAGCCTAAAGGTTTTATGTTACCTCCTCACAAAGTACAGTATCTTCTGTGTACCAGAAAAGAGCACACCATACTCTGACTGTATATATATATATATATATATATATATATA